GTAATATGTATCCTACCAAAAAGTGTTCCACACCACATTTGGACCATATTGCAACAAGTCATATAAGTTAATATTATTCTAAATATTTCCTCTCTGCTGTAGCTTCATTTGTGCAAGTTTCATTTGTGCATCCATAACATTCTGCATTAGTGTCAAACTTTCTGAAGTTTGACACAAGTCACAAGTCATTTGTTGCTGAAGGGCCCCATGCAATAAACAACACTTGGACCCCGAGCAAAACATCTGCTCCTCCATTTCATAAAAGAAAAAAGTGTTAAAAATGACATTAGGCTGAGTAAACAATGACAGAATTGTCATGCCCATCATATTATTCTGATATAATGCTTAGTTTAAAGTGAAGGGAATGAATTATTCATGTAACTGTGTGTGTGTGTAAGCATGCTTGTGGAGGAGGAGCCCCTCTTCAGAGACACTCACTGCACAGTACACAGTTCTGTGCCCCTCTCTACATGGCTGAACTGTGGAGGAGTGGGCCTGCTAGGACTTCCCACTACAATCTGAGCTACACAGAAGAGAAATCATTTACTGGCTCAACACATCCTCTCTTATCTTATTTTACCAGGACTGACTTGAGAATTTTTTTTTCCCAGCTGGATCATAAGCATATAGTCTTCTTTATGTATGTGTGTGTCTCTAAAAGCGATGCCAGATCCATTGTGCATTCAGACGGGAGTTTCAGAGACAGACAGTAACCAGGCAGAGGCTTGTGAAGGCTTCATTGAGCACACCAGGAAAATAATGAGATTTTAAGGCCGTTCCTTTCTCACGCCACTGACTCCTCTGTGAATAATGCCAATGAGTTTTTGCACCTATAATAGAAAACCTGTTTAAATATCCTCGTTCTCTCTTTCACATAGGAAAGAAAGCCTAAGATGAATAGTGGCGACAGCATTCAAGACCTCATCCAAAAGAAAGCCACCCTGCTGTCCATTTTCATCTACCTCTGAGAAACGACATTGAGCCAACGAAAGAAGAATAAGTCCACCAGTGAACGACAGCAATGTTGTACAGTCGTTTAAAGTAAGAGCTCTTAAAAATCCTCAGGCCAAATTTGCTCTTGATCCATCATCAGACCAGTTTCAAAGTCTTCCTCCAGCACCAGAACACAGTGTGTCCTTGATATGTGAACATAAGAGATGTGAAAAGTAGGACGCACTTGTTCACACCGGATCAGACGATCAGGAGGACCCCTGGGTGACAAATAATGACAGCAGAGTGATGGTGACTTCAACAAGCAGGGCTTTGAAGCGCTGAGCTTCACAGGTCACAGATCAGAGCGGTGTCTTCTAGGGCTGACAGCTGGTCTGAGGGAGGGAAGCTGTCTCTGTGTCAGCGATGCAGCTATGTGACCGTGAAGACTCCATCTCCACTATGGGACTGTCCACCGCCGCAGTGGTGGCCATAGCATGTAACATCCTGGTAGCTCTGCTCATACTGGTTCTGATATTGATCCTCTGCAAAGCATGCAAGGTTCCCTCCAGCCAGGAGAGCGTCCCGGTGCTGACTCTAGAGAACGCACGTCAGAGGAACGAGCAGAGGTACTTGCTGACGGCGTGAAGGAAAAGGTTGGCGACGGAACGCTGTTTATATTTTGTACTGCCTGCAGCGATCAATTGCAGACTGGGCGACATGGTTTGTCATGAATTAAAACATGATTTCATAGATGTTTTATGCTATTCATAGAGGCCTGCATAGGTGACACTTGAGGACGAGGAGTAAGTTGGCTGAGCGTGGGCTACTGGATTGTACCTGAGCTCTCTTATACTGTACCACTCTGCCTGAGTGTTTTATGTAAAGGTAAAGAGACTCTCAGTCGCCTCATTAGACTCATTCAGTAGTGCCTGACAATGTCAGTGAAACCCCACACCTGCAGCTAACCAGCTAGCAATCACTGTTATGCTAATTAGTACACAAACAAATAAAAGCTCAAGTGCAAGAATTACATTTTAACAAGAGCTGAATTGTACTGCTTTGTGTCTGAAAGATAAATTTTAATAAGAAATGCATGTTTTATTGTGGTTGTTTGCTTGTGCAATGGGCCAGAGGGACCGGTACACTAATAACATGCTAGCATCTTTTCTTCAGAATATCAGAGAAAATTAAATGGTAGATAAAGATTATGAATGTTTAATAAATACGTTGAAATATCCATAAAATTCTTGGTCTTCTTTAACATCTTGTAAAGTTATGAGCTACCTTGTTATAGGCATGCTGTAAGACTATTTTTGACTGTTCTCACATTTCTAGACAACAGTTTAAATACTGGACCAGAAATGCAGCTTTTTAAGATGTAAAAAAAAAAAAAAAATCCAAGTAAAATAATGGTAAATGTTTTCCCAACTTTATTGTAATATTGAAATGAACAAAATTCATGTAACAAAAAAACAAATAGAAACTTTTAAAGAAAAAGGAAAAACCTAAAAATACCTGGTTGCATAAATGTACACAACCTTTTCTAATAGTGCATGTACTGTGTTTGAAATGAACCAATCACATTCAAACTTTTACTGAAAAATTATTATATAAGTGATACCGATTAACCCTGAATAAAAAACAGCTGTTTCTGTAGGTTCTTTGCATCCTTTTGGTTGCATCTTATTCCCAAAATCACAGCCTGCTTACAAAGAATGTGCAGGATCTCTTTGTGAAGAGGGGTACAAAAGTAATTCCAAGAATTAGATGTGCCCTGGAATACCAAGAAGGCAACCATCAACAAGTGGAGACAATAGGGTGCCACAATGACACTGCAAAAAACAGGTCACGTGTACTGATCACTGTGACAACAATATTCTGTATTCTTCATATGTCAAGCATCTGAGCCTACCTACATTTATGCCACAACCATGAGGCAAAATGTTTAATGGTCCAACAAAACCAAATAATTTTTTTTGGGCCATGATTTTACAAAGTACGTTTGGCACCAAAGCAAGACTGTTCATCATCCAAACAACACCATACTCACAATAGAGCTGCTCGATTAATCGTTAAAAGACCGCAATCTCGATTCAAACACCCACACAATCTTATTTCTAAATGACAATGATTCGTCTGTCTATTAAACCTTTCACAAAGTCATATTGGATATTCAAATCTGTGTTCGTGCTGCTACTGACGGAGAGAACAGATATCATGTTTAGGTATAAAACAGCTTAAAGGGGTCATCGGATGCAAAATTCACTTTTCAAGTTGTTTGAACATAAATGTATGTTGGATGTGTGTGTACACATCCATCCTATAATTATAAAAATCCATCCAGTGTTTTTTTTTTTTTAAATCCCCTTTCTCAAACCAGGCTGTTCTGAGATTCCTGTCAGAATGACGTAGTTCTGTACAGGCCCCTCCCACGATTGACAGAAGCGTTTCAGCACAGACTGGACTGGTGTCTTACCTTAGACCCGCCCTGAATGAGCTGTCATCAGCTGTCTCTGGTGCAGGGGAAGACAAGATGTCTCCGATTAAGCGATTGAGGTGCTTTATTGTTGGATGTAATAATGAATATAGCAGTCGTCATTTACTCCCGACATCTGAGCCACTGAAGACGCAGAGGATTAACGTTACTTTCGTTTTGAAGTGAATGCGCCACTCCAGATCAGCCTAAATGCATCTATGTTCGCTCGAATTATTCTTGATCCAGCCTCATGTACAGAAGAAGTGAGTATAAGGGTTTTTTATGAATCATTGCAAATCACCTTTCCTAATAATGCGCTAATTAGCAAGTTTCACGATGAATGCTGCTAAAGTAAACAGTCTCTCTGAGAGCAGAGGGGTGGGGCCAGCAGAGCTCATTAACATTTAAAGCAACATGGACTATAATGGCTTGATAAAAACAGAGCTGATTTTGACAGGTTTAAAAAGGTGTTTTTTACACTAACATTGAGAAATTTTAACCAAAGTATGTTATAGACTTTTAATTAAGACCCTAAAGAATCATATCAACTTGTGTAAAATGAGCATCCGATGACCCCTTTAAAACAACCAGTCTTTTCAACCACACAGTATTATTTCTGTCTTACAATCATTCATATTGTCACAGAAGTACCGAGATAAAAGTTTATAGTTCGGATATTAACACTGATGCCTATGATAGCGATCAAAATGGAGCAAATCATCTTTTGAAAGTAATTTTAGCTTCAAATAACGTTTGTTGATTACAATGTTGATTAAATTGTTTCGCCACTAGGTGGCGACAATTGACTGTTAAAAATGTTGTTATTGAATCATTCATTCAAAAAAACTGATCATTCAGTAATGGAACAAGTAAAGTGAATGAGTGAGTCATTGAATCATTTATTCAAACTTTTTTTTAAATTCATTCAAATTAATTAAACATTTTTTAATAGAAGGAGGCGATTATATGTTATTTTACTTAGTTCAGAATTGTTGGAGAATCGTGATCTCCATTTGAAACAAAAAAATCGTGATTCTTAATTTATCCAGCTCTAACTCACATTGAAGCATGGTTGTGTAAGTATCATTCTATAGGGCTGCTTCTCTTCAGCTGAGACTGGGGCAATAGTCATGGATAGTGCTAAATACCAGACATTTTGGCACAAAACCTGCTGGCCTCCACTAAAATCCTAAGATGAAGTGGAAATTCATGTTTCATCACAATAATAATCTCAAAAAAACAAATCAAAGTCAACTAACATATGGCTTCAGAAGAAGAACCATGTTTTGTAATGGCCCAGTCAGAGCCCATACCTAAATCTAATCTATAAAAACAAAAATTGTGAAATGACATGGGGCTCTTTTGCAAGAAAGAAAAAAAAAAGGGCAAATCAAGATGTACTAAGGTGACAGACACTTAATCACAAACACTGGCTGCTGTACTAAAAGGAAAAAGCCGTTTCAACCAAATATTAGTGAATACTTGTGCATCCAGGATATTTCAAGTCATATTTTTAATTCTTCATTCCTTAAAAGTTTCTGTTTACTGTTACTTGAATTTTGTTGGTTTCAATATTACATTAAAGATGGAAAAATATTTTAACAGGGGTGTGCTGACTTTTTATACCCACTGTATATTTTAGTGTTTGTAGTGAATTTGTAGTATTTGCAGTCGTCCTGGTCTTACTGTGGCTCAGTTCTGCTGATTGTTCCCAGGCTACCTCAGTGAGCTCAACAGTTGCTCCATCTTTGCTATTTCCACCTCCGGCCCCTTCGGCAAATCCTGACCCTTCTTCTCCTGTGGAGCCAAAGAGAGAAATGAAGAGGAAGAGATGAGTCAGCCGCTGGTAGTGAGAGGACTGACCCAGGGGTGCCACTAACAATCACAAACACTTCTCAGTGAGAAGCTCCCATTTAAACGTTTCCATCTCGACCGGCGGAGGTAATGAGAGAGGTGTTAGCGCAACGTTATTTCCTCTGTGTGTGCTGTGGTGGTACAAAACCGTCAGAGATTCACTCTAATCTCACATGACATTTGTCTGATATGATTACAGTGACACATTGCTTCCTCGGGGGAGAATAATCAAAGATCACTATGGTTACTGACCATGCCAGGGTCGTAATGAACTAAACCAGACCAGATGAACTTCTCTGAAGAAATATTCACTTCCACTAATTAAACACTCTCCGGTTCCTGTCAATCATTAGCCAAAATTTTAAGCAATTATGAGTCTGGTAATTACTCTGAGAACATCTGCTAAATGTGCTCAGCAGAATGCTAATGTTCAGATATTCACAGAGCTGCAGTGGAGCGATGAAACTTCAATGAGCTTCAATAAGTAGCTCAAGTTTACAGCTATTCATAGAATCCATCAAATCCTAACCAGGGAGGGCCGTTAGGGAAATACATTTGGGAGAGTGAAAAATGTCAATCAAACAGTCTTAAAACATTTCTGATCAACTGGACATTGTTTTCCCTCTGTAAAATCTCTCTCTTTTTTTTTTTTTTTGCTCCAGAGCCTTCATGCTAGACTTTGTCTTAGTTTCTGTCACTTCAACAGAAGAAAATAACTGCAGCAAATAGACCTTCAGACATCTTTATTGACATCATTCACTTGAAAAATGTCCACCCTTATCCACCTTATTTGCAACATGGGATTAAGCTATATGTACTGTTGGTACTGCTGTCAAACAATTAATCGCGATCGCATCCAAAATAAAAGTTTTTGTTTACATAGTATATGTGTATGTACTGTGTATATTTGTACCTTGCTCTCAAAGATTATTTAATTTTAGTTTTGTTTTTGAATTTGGCCAGCGGTTATGAAAACATGAATGATCATTTCTTTTAATGCGGTGTGCTGTCGCCCTTTCTACGTATAAATAAGTCAAATCATGTAATGTGAATGTCGTACAGTCTTGCTCAAGACTAAAAAAACGTGTTGAAAGTGTACCGAGCCATGGAAGAGACACTGGCTTTGTTTACATGCACAATTTTTGGTTCAATCGGACTGAATTCATTCCAATTTATGAATCTGAATGTAGTGTTTACATGAATGCTATATAAAGTGATCGGGTTGATGTGCGAGTTTATAGGCCTATGTCACAAGCTTCAAATCGGAATAGATTTTTTTTTTGACATGCACACACTGCACAAATATAGAGTTTCTCACTGTTTGCACATAATAACCACTCTCCTAGAAATAAAGCACAATTTTATGCAAATTCAGAACAAATAAATAAATATTGAGATTAGTGCTGTCAAACGATTAATCGCGATTAATCGCATCCAAAATAAAAGTTTTTGTTTACATAGTATATGTGTATGTACTGTGTATATTTGTACCTTGCTCTCAAAGATTATTTAATTTTAGTTTTGTTTTTGAATTTGGCCAGCGGTTATGAAAACATGAATGATCATTTCTTTTAATGCGGTGTGCTGTCGCCCTTTCTACGTATAAATAAGTCAAATCATGTAATGTGAATGTCGTACAGTCTTGCTCAAGACTAAAAAAACGTGTTGAAAGCGTACCGAGCCATGGAAGAGACACTGGCTTTGTTTACATGCACAATTTTTGGTTCAATCGGACTGAATTCATTCCAATTTATGAATCTGAATGTAGTGTTTACATGAATGCTATATAAAGTGATCGGGTTGATGTGCGAGTTTATAGGCCTATGTCACAAGCTTCAAATCGGAATAGATTTTTTTTTTGACATGCACACACTGCACAAATATAGAGTTTCTCACTGTTTGCACATAATAACCACTCTCCTACACGTTTTTTAAATTTGTTTTTAACAGCAGAATTAATAATTATCCATTTATGGATAAATATACATATAAACCGCTGTAACGTGCTGCTCATATTTATCACTCCCCGCGCCCAAAACGGGTTGCCTGTGGATGAAAATCCAAAACAAGGACTGGTGGGAGGTTGTCCTGCTCCACTTCACAGTTGCCGAGTGAAAGGAGAGTTTTATAATGACATTTATACAACACTTTATTCAAAAGAAAGAACCGCTCATTTCGCGCGTCATACGTCATTACGTTATTTCTGCAGTCATTGCACATGCGCAGTCCTTTCAGTCTCGGGGTTCAATCCGATCGAGTGTTTACATGCACTCTCAATCTTATTAGAAAAGGAATAAACCACCCCCTTCAATCCGATCGAAATTTCATTCTGCTCGAGCTCAATCGGATCGATTAAGGTGTTTACATGAAGGCTTTTTAGTCCGATTACAAACGGATTATTTGGTTGCATGTAAACGTAGTGACTGTTTCTGTGTGTATTTATATATACATAATAAATATACACAGTACACACATTATGTTGTAAAACAACTTTTATTTTGGATGTGATTAATTGTTTGACAGCACTAATATATATATATATATTTATCCTCCTGAGACCCAGCTATGGAGTTTTTGCCTCTGTAGGGGACATTCTATTTGAGTGAATTTCTCTGAGACCTCGCGTCACAGTTTTAAGTCTGGATGTCCTGTACAGAGCACATTCAGGGCTTTCCAGAGATACCAAATTATTGGATGTTTCACCATGACCACTCCCTCTCCTTGGTTTTTAAAAATGGCTGACATTAATTTAGTGATAAAATTGTACATCGTTATGGAAATATGATAATATTTTGTAATTATAATTTAAATCTGATTAATTTTCAAATTGTTTGTCATAAATCAACATATCAGGAAAATGTTATGGGGTTTCAAATCAAAATATGACCTTCTGTTAAGACTAAAAGCATGTTTATTATAAATTTTGGGAGACAAAAGAATTGAATAGGAAAACAAATTATATATCAATATTCTTATGAAATATTAGATATTATTATGAAAATCGGGCTAATTGCTACTCTCATTATTACACTTCTTTTTTCAACATACTGTCCCAACAGCACTTTAATATGCAAATTAGATACAGTGTATAGATAACATTGTGCTTAATGGGAAAACCAGTTTATGGAATTTTTACACACATATTGCATAAAGCAAAATGGTATATCAAATAATTTTGTTATATATTTTATAACATAGTTGAGAACCATCCTGAAACAAAGTTAGTTATAAAAAAATCCTGAAACCTAAAAATTGATTGGTGATTAAAAAAAAATTCCCATTGTTTTTGCCTTTTCATGTCTACTCTTTTGCCTTTTCATGTCTACTCTCTATTTTTAGAAAAACTGAGTCCTGGTGTCCTCTACAGAGGACATATCATAACTTATGAATAAAATATAATTTTTCAAAAATGTTATTTTACCATTTTTTTCTTATGCTCTAAACAATGTAATGACATGAAAAAATACTAAATTCACAAAGCTTTTTATTTCTGGTTCTCAGGAGGATATATATATGTGTTTTAAAATGAGGAGGCAATTACTAATTATGTATAATACTAATTATACATTTCCTAGTGTTTTATGCATTTTTATATTTATTCCAAAATAATAACTAAAGGCAGTAACAATTTGAACAATATTTTGGAAACAATTTACAATAATGTTTCATTAGTTAACATTAGTTAACTACTTCAGTTAACATGAACTAAGAATAAACAATAGCCTACTTCAATAGCATTTATTAATCTTAGTTAATATTAATTTCAACATTTACTAATGCACTATTAAAATCAAAAGTTGTGTTTGTTAACATTAGTTTATGCACTGTGAACTAACATGAACTAACAATGAACAACTGTATTTATATTAACTAATGTAAACAAAGATGAATAAATACTGTAATAAATGTTCATTGTTTGTTCATGTTAGTTAACACATTAAATGACACCTTATTGTAAAATGTTAGCAATATTTTTTATTTGTGAACTGATGTTCAGCTGTTAATAGTCAACTTATTTCGGGATTTATGTTTGTAATATTGATTATTTTGTCATCCAATTTTTTGAGGAGACACTGCCTCCCTTGCCTCGGAGGGAATGCCCCTGATATATATATATATATATATATATATATATATATATATATATATATATATATATATTATATATATATATACACACACACACACACACACACACACACACACACACACACACAATATAAATGAGTTCTGAAGTTATGCAGAGTCTCATTTTCTAATGACTGCGGCATCTGAAGCAGATGATTGTGAACCAGCAGAGAATTCCTATGTAAGTGAAGAGGAAGATTTTACTGCTGGTAAGTGGCTCTCTTGCCAAGAGGACTTCTAATGTTTCTTGTAATTGCAGTCAGTGTTGTGCAAATAAAGTTTATTCAGTGACCCTGTTACTTCAAACCAGCAGAATTTTCTGAGAAGTTGCTGACTGTTGTGGAACAAAGTAGATTAGAATATAAATCAGCAGCCGAGACAACAAACTGAAGGCTCAGGAATGAACACTGACCCAACTCTTAACGCAGTGAATATAAAACAGTCTGTAAAAAGAGATCTAGCTACAGGACTAATATGAATACTGTGATTGATGAGTCACAGGCACAGACAGACATGGTGGAAGGCTCATGGGAGGTGAGACGTGTGTGTGTGTGTTGGTGTAGTGTCCTAACCTGGAAAACAGCTGACCGTTTCTATTGAGTTTGGAACATGCTGTTTTTTAGTCACCGTCTCAGATACCACCCCATGGGTCCCACAGCCATTGCTTTAACATATAGCTTGTAGACAGGTATACATGTCTGGCTTCAGCCAGCATTGACCTATACTCACGTTAGCACAACTGGAATCCTGCAAAGGTCAAGCACTTTATCCAAATAATCAATGTCCTTCATAAAGGTCTGTATTATAAAAGTTGTTTTGTTTCCTTTATTTTGTGATACTATTTTTAAGTATTGGATTTATATAAAGGTGATATAAATCCCCCCATTTTGCTAATTGAAAAACATGTTATAAATAACTTAATTTAAATAATTGTATATATATAATGAAATTAAGTATTTTTAAAACCATTTCTCCTACCTTATTTTAATATCCAGAGACAACTATAAATAATCCATCAAAATGATTATTCCCAAAGAATATAAATGCTTCTGTTTTTCCTTCAGAGCTGGCAATAAGTCCAGGTGGAGAAAAAAAAAAGGTTTTTGGCATCAGTGGTCTCTATAATATACTCAGGCTTACAATGTTTATCGTTAACGTAATATAGGTTGATTTGGCAGTTCTGACAATTTCTGTATTGGCCCATATCTGTGTTTGATTAACCCCTTCAGTCCTGTTTGTTTTTCCACTGACCAAAAAAAAGTCATCAATTTTGTGTACTTTTTTTTTAATCATTCAAATGTAATATTGTTATTTTGATGATCATTTGTTTTTTATTGTTTCTGAGTTCATAGTTCCTATGTTTAGTTCCTGTTTACTGAGTTGTTCCTAAATTGTTTCTAGCGTGTTCTTGTTTGTTTCCCTATTTACAGTTTTAGTTCACTTAGTTCTTTAGTTGCTCATTTATTCCTGTATATTTATATACCATTACAATTATATAAATAGTGATATTAGGCATGTTTACATATCAGTACATAGGTTATTAAAAAACGTACATCGATCATTCACAAATTTGAATGAATGAATGAATGATCATCTGCAATATGGTGGGGAATTGACTAGTTTGACCAAACATTGTGGGTAAAAGTTTGGAAACAATTATTTTTGTAGTTACGTTTTGTGCAGAAATGTACTCTTCACCTTTAAATAAAGTAATGTAAGATGTAAGTCATCCTCTTGATGAGGCAAAACAGAAAGTTTTAAATTAATTTATCTACGATCAGCCACTGCATCAGGGGGGTAAGTGTGCGCTTTCATAGGCAATAATGACATTAGGTTGTGGAAAGCTGGTGATTAATGACTCGAGGAGACAGTGAATGTGTTGCATTGCTGACTCTCATCAGTCATATTAAAAGACATTGCACTCAGCAGTTTTCTCTCTGTTTAAGATAAGGACAGCCATGGCAGCAATAATACAGCTTCTTGCTAATCAAAAGCATTAGTGGACACAGCAACTCAACCTGTGACACTGTGTGTCATTAGAATCAGCCGTTTCAGCCAATCAAATATAATGACTGTCACCAACAAAACACATCAACACTGAGCGCTGACACTGACTGAGATCTCCAAAAAACAAGTTAAACATTTCACAAGTCGAGGTTTGACAGACAGCAGCTAGTCTGTGAGGCAGAGAGATTTTAATTATGTGCTGCCATTGTTATATAGTTTCTGACCGTAAACTGAGGGCTCAACACATAATCAGTCAGTGGGTTGGTTTCTCTAGATGCAGAACAGAAACAACGGCACGTTAGCCCCCAAACTATTCAAGAGTAGCGTAACATTAAACATTAAAGGTGAAATATATAATTACGTGGTTGCTGAAATTCATTTTCTTATCCCAGACTGATGTGCAGAGACAATTGGAAGTGTACATTCAAAACCTCTGATTCAACCTGATCAACTAAAAATTGTATAGAGGGATGACTGTCAGCAATAACACACTTAACATTTAATTTATGAGGAGATGTATCTAAGTATAATTACTCTGTAATCACGGCAAAACTTCAAAAACCTTTAGTTAGCTTCAAAAACTTTTTATTTCTGCATCGTTTTGTTCCGAAAGCATTTGTCCCACAGTACAGTCTGATTGCTGTCTTGAATTACTGTTTTAATGCCTAGCAAACAAATGATACTTGAATTTATGTTCAACATGCTGCATTAATGTGGTTCCAAAACATTCTCATCCAATGTCAGTAAATTGAGATGTTCGATAACTGTTAACAAATGATTTTTCTTTGAACTGCTGTGGGTTCTGTGTATGCTGTAAATTCATGTCTGAAGCCATCTCAAAGATGCAGATGCAGATACAGCAGTTCAGCACTTGAAGTATGTAGCACAGTAGTGATTGAAACAGCACTGATCGATTAAGCATGTGGTTTCATTGGAGCCCTATACATAATATGAGTGCATCTCATACCTTAGGCTTCTTGCGGAGGTTGGGAGAGAGCTTGAGGCTGGTGACATGGCCGCGGTCATCGCCCACGATGATGATGGGATGGACAGGGTTGAATTCGATGTTGAAGAGCTTGGTCTTCTTGGACACCACTTTTTGCTGGCAGAGAGCCTCATATTTGTTGATGTTGAGGTCGAACACATGGACCTGAGAGAGAAATGGAGGAGGAGGAGCAGGCAGTTTTAGTCTTTGCATTAATCTGTGTTGCATTTCTGTTTTGATGTTTTCAGTGTGAAGCAGACATTAGCACCTCTAAAATGTATTCTCTTGCTATGGCTCCAAGTGTGCATTTCAGTTTTTGCACTTGTATTTTAATATATTCATATGTATGAGCACAAGAATACATGTGACTGTGAAGGTGCAAGAATGCAGATCATCTGCTCCAGAGGATCGTATTATTTGTGTGATAGTATGTATAGAGAGGTAGTATAATTATTTTAACAGATTAATTAAATAATAAATAACATTATTTAATGTCACGTTATTATAAATATAAATTGTAAAATTGTACTTATATAATGTAAATATCTATTTATTTATATTTATATATTTTCACAAATATTTGAATACATATGAAGTATTTGCTGTTTGTGAAAAGTTGGAAATGTACGTGTCTCTCAGAAATACAGATAAAGAATGAGTCTCTCTGAGGATGACAGAGTCCTGTGTGACAGATGCAATCTGTGGATGACAGTATCTCATCTTCTGCTACATTCAGTAAAAAAAAAAAAAAATCCAAATGATACAGAGAGGAGTGAGTGAGGGTTGGGTGATTAGAATTCCCATCATCCTCATTGTCATTCATGTATCATGCTCCCCACCTAAGCATAGGCAGATGAAAGACAGAGACGGGAGATGGGGGACACAGGATACAGGCTTGGATACTCATTAGTAAATATTTGTCAAGCAGCATGTCTCATAATCAGTTAGCGAGTGTGAATCTATCTTAACAGACGATGATATTCTGGGCAGCTGACGCAGTGATGCAAAGGACACGCACTACGTCAGTACTAATGATGCCATCTGCAAATGCAGGAGTAACACCAAATCTAACACAACATCTTTGGCGCTAAGAGCTTGAAGGAAGAATGCCCCTTTAAAGATTAGAAATCATGCAGCTCGGTCTGTGTTTTGTTGTTTCAAGATATGTCAGCAATATTTGTTTTTGTAGGCTTGCCTGCAATTAATTTATTCATGGCATTTCGAAATAACTGAGGCAGCCGACTGGCAGCAGAGATCTGGACCCATTCCAATACTAGTGTGATACTGACAAACATCAAATCACACAGTGTGTCCCAACTACTGATATAAAGAAGGAAGTCCAAAGCAAGGGCTTCCTCTTCCATTGTCTCTTTGTTCTTTTACAAATGATTATGTATTTATAAATGTATTATTTTGTTTATTTATTTTATGGTATTTTTTATCTTATTTTGCATGGGAGGACAGATATCTATTATTCTGAATGGTGTACATTTCTGCAGTTTTTATTGCACTACTAACTGCAGTAGCAGTGACAGTTTCTGTCATGACCTGACTGATACATGCATGTATATAGTTGCAATCAAATTTTTTCAACCCCCTTGACCTCCAAGACTTATCGTTTTGTAAGGTATAAGTGACTTAACAGCAGTGTTGAATAGGGGTTGAATAATTATGACAAAAAAATCCTATATCTCAAAAACATTTAATTATATATTGACATTATATATTACATTGCTACAATATAAATGTATTACATTTATAAAGATGCAATAAAAAAAAAAAAACTCGTGATGAGAAAGCTCTGGATCTTTAGAAATGCTACAGTCTCTGATGGATATATATAAGGTATATGCAAAAAATAAACAGAAATTTGATTTTAAAATGATCAGGAAAAAAAAACAGCAGGTCCTAATGCTCAGTAAGGAGTTTTAATTCTGTAGGTGGCGCTGTTGGTCTACTTCTAATAAAATGAAAGCAAAATACACAAATAATATTTAGACTGTGTTTCTGATGAAATAAAGTAGTAATTGATGCTATAAAATCATAAGTATGTTTCGATTTAAAGGTCCGATGCTATAGCTTACATGAACAAAAAAAATCACAAACATGACACTTAAATTAAATAATTTTATATATACTGATTTATTCATTAATGTGTTATACATTATTTTTTTTTTTTTTAATTATGAGCTCTAAAAGATTTTCAGAATATTTACAACTCTTTTGCTTTAGACCATTTACAAATGTTAAATCATAAAATAAAATGTCAAGGTTACCACTGCATATTTCTGATAAAAAAAATGCAGCGATTAATATATAGTTTATTTATAGTTATTTTCAAATCTTCAATGCACTGTCATTATAAAATAACTTTATTATTATTTATTTAATTCTAACAAATAAGTTCTTGTTAAAAACCAACCAAAATTTAAAATAATTATATATCGGCATCGGCTATCGGCCAAAATGAGTTGAGAATTATCGGCATATCGGCAAAAATCCAATATCGTGCATCCCATTTTCCACATACTGTACATTATTGTTTCTCCTCTATGCCCTGCCTTTCTGAAACGCGTCAAATTTTACAAATCTCATCGGTCTGAAACGCGAGGTGTGCTCTGATTGGCTAGCTATCCAGTGCGTTGTGATTGGCCGAATACCTCAAGCATGTGACGGAAATGTTACGCCCCTTGCCATATTGTGATGCCTTGTCCCAGCCAGAGCAACGAGACAAAAACATTAATAAACCCATTATAAACAAGGCATTTGTTGCATCCAGTGGGGACATATTTACGGATTATAATGACTTATACTGTCTTTTTACACGTTGCATTGCATCGCGCCGCATAAACATAAAACCATGTCTGCATTTGTGATCGGAGAAATGACAAACGCTACTCTACACTGCTCAAAATCACAACGAAACACAGCGTCACACACGGCGGGCTTGAGCGAGCAGACCAAAAGTGAGTGGGCTTGAGAACGGTATGGCGGGCGGGCTTGCGGCAACCACATGTGACGACCCCGGGCTGGACTCCACTTCGTCCACGGTAAAAGCCGATCCGGCGATCCACAGCGTGAAGTTGATGGATTTCCTCAGCGACCAGCATGATGAAGCGCATATCATCCTCTTTTGGAAGGCCAAACAAAGTAGTTTCGCTTTCACAACGAAACACACAGTGTCTCAACAACATGGTGGCGGCAGCAACAACAGCGAGAATAAAAGTTACGCCTTCTTTCTTTGCGTGAACATTTGGGCGGTGTTATGCAAATCTTCCCACATCGTGACGTAGACATGTGGGGGCGTGTTAGAACGAGCCATTTTAGGTAGGCGTGGTTAACTCTTAATTTTTATAAAGAATATCTCTTTGAATTTGAGACTTTAGTCTTTGCAACTTTACAGATCTTCTTTATGCACCAGGAGCTTGTAACACTCCAAAGAGAAAAGAAAAATTTAAATCGCATCATATGACCCCTTAAATAAAAAGGTGTAACATTAAAATATATTAAAGTGCTCATAAACACACACAAAACTCAAGTACATACGGAGGGAGGGGTTCTGGCAGACCAATCCCAGCGCTTGTGGTCCACGTAGAATTGACCCGCTGTTAAGATTTTTGGAGAGGTGCAGGATACTACACATAGCCTACGGAGTAGCTATGGCGTAGGTTCGACACAGAAGTATAAATTGGGCTTTACTTTAAGAGGAAACTACATTCTGACATTGTACCCTTGGCATCACAGTAAAGCAGCATTCGGGTTATTTGGTTTTGTTGGGGAACAGAGTGTGGTCTTTATTGGATCAAGCTGTAATGGGTTTCCTGTAGAGGGCAGGTGTAATTTAGCCCACCGGAGTTACAGTGTTAGCAAATAACAGCGACAGCCACCACGGCACGGCAGTTTAAACCGATCAGGACTGCGAGACTGACAGGTGATGCCTGAGGCTGCCTCAGACAAGAGCTTGAGACCAGCTGTGTGATTTGAGACTAATTGCTAACGAAGGGACACAGGATAGAGTGTGTGTGATTTTGTGTGTGTGCTGCAGCTTACAGGTGCAGTCGAGCACTGTTGGAAAGACATCCCATTGTCTGGCTGCTACTGTGTTTCATTAGCAATTATTACATTATTCATAAGGGGGCGTGTGTGTGAATATCCCTTGTGTAAATCACACATGCGAAATTTTCAGACAACAAGTGCGCTGTGTTATGACAGTTACTAAGTTTAATGCAGCAACTCTTCACTGTTTACTTACTGAAACTGAGACCTCTTGGTGAAATAGGTTGCTGGGAGGTGTTAGTAAGGCTAGTGAAGGGGCCTTCTAATAATTCCCAAATATGAACTGACAATTCTGTTTCCTGTGTGTGGGGAGCATTCTATTGCTGCCATCCAGTGTTGGAGAGGCTACTTTGAAAAAAGACTGCTTAAAAAAAAGAAGACCTAAAATGCTGTACTGGGCCTTTCACACAAGGTCTTTGTTTTTCTTAATCATTCAGTTACATAAACCTTACAAACAAAACTACTCACTAGAATGAATCAGGCTGTTCAGTACTACATATGGGAGAGAGAGAGGACTGGTTAGGAATGCATGTTAGTTTGATTATTGAAAAATGCTGTTTTTTGAGTGGAAGTATCCGGAAACTGCTGTTTTAAGATAAGAAAATATTATTATTAATTATTAATATTATTATTAGGAGAATTGGTTTGGAAAATGGATGGATGGTTGAATGGGTGGATTATGACTACTTTTTTGTTGTTATTATTATTAAAATAGAATTTGAAGCCAATTAAGAAGTCGCCTTAATCTGGTAACATGAAAAAAATTGTATAACGGAGAATTTGTGGACTTTACTGTTGTGTTTCTATTAAAGTTGGGTAGGCTCTTTACCTTTCCATCAGTGGTGACAGCAGCAAAGACAGTAGAGGAGTATGGAGCCCAGGCTACATCTGTCACTGAAGTTTTCAGTTCAAAGGTGAAAACGGGAGACCTGTGAGAGACATGTATTGTTACTTGTTATTTATTTGATCAGATCCTTTGATTACTTCAGGAGGTAAAGCTCCAACAAAACTAGACATACAATAGGCAAAGAGATCCATTGCTGATCTACTGCAAAGCACAAGAGCTCTCTGTTGGTGGTTTAGGGATACTGCATCTAAAAAAATCCACTTAGTCCACTAACACATAAACAAAATGTGCACTCAAGATGACAGATTAATTCATTATTATTAATATAAGGATGTCTTTTTGACAACCTAATTGGTTTGTCAAATAAATGCACTGAAAAGCTAATTATGTTTATTGGAAGAGCAATGCGTGCAGAACTAAATTAACAAAACCAAAGCCTGAAATTCACAAGATGGCAGGTATTGTGTATAATTTTACTAATCCCACAATGTTCTGCAATTACAATGCAGGAAATTCCCACAAACATTTATTCATAGTTTGAGAGACCATTTTGAAGGCTCAGGAAACCTTTGCAGGTGTTTTGAGTTGATTAGCTGATTGGCATGTCACCATATTCTAATTTGTTGAGATAGTGAATTGGTGGGTTTTTGTTAAATGTGAGCCAAAATCATCACAATTAAAAGAACCAAAGACTTAAACTACTTCAGTCTGTGTGCATTTAATTAATTTAATACACGAGTTTCACAATTTGAGTTGAATTACTGAAATAAATGAACTTTTCCACGACATTCTAATTTATTGAGATGCACCTGTATGTCTAATGCTATGAGAGGGTGAAGACTGACACTGAAAATCTAGTCAAAGATCAAAAGGGCAGGTGCTCAAGCACAACTTGAGGTCTACAGATGCACGTGTCTGTCGTTTATACACACGACAAGGGGTGATCAGTTTATTAAAATTCTATGGGAGCATGAAACAGTCCACCTGTAATAGTTATGTTGGGATGTATCTAAATGAATATGTTCAGCCAATTATTGCACCAATTGTAAGAGAAAGATAAATTCTGTAATCAAAAATTTAGGTGGGATAATTGTAATTAAAAAAATTATTTCTAAAATATTTTAGTCCTTATAGTCCTTTGTCTGAAATGAAATTCAGGCCATGCCAACTGAAGGATAAGTAGCAGGGTGCTATTTTTAGAGGCTGGAGAAGGCTGCTGTAGACATAGCGCTGTAGGGAATGGTGCTCATACTTCATAGTTTGATCCCAAATTTTGACCATCCAGTCCCAGCCACAAGAGATGAAGACATCAGGATGGAAGGGATTCCACCTCACACGAGTGATATTCATGAAGTGGGCATCATATTTTTCCAGGAACTTGCTAGAATAGTATTTGGAGCCCTGTAAAACACAAACGCATTACTGGTTAGATTAACATTACAAAATTGCTGGTTTGTTATACTGCTTAACTATCCACTGGTTCTTATGAATAACATTTGCAGAAGTAGTAGTGACATTTAAAACATTCTTTGCAAAGAGATCGACACCATTATTCTTGTTTAGTTTGCATTGTGTAGCTCAGAAGTGCTCGATAGATCGAATTCATTGTTCCCCGGGCAGCGCATCACACAACAGAAGGACTCTGAGTTTAATCTGAGAGATGAATCTAAAGAACACAGAGCTCTGCATCAGCTGTCAGTCTTTAGGGAGACAGGGGCCAGTTTTTGCCCAGCAGTATGTCTCTAGCATTCTAGCATTAAATGAGCCTCCAACACAGCTCCCCAACATCTTTGCCAATCTGCAGAGGATGCTAGGCAAATCTCCTAAAACAATGAAGAATGTTTTGCTCCTAAGTCTGATCATTTTAGTGCATTTTGTGCAGAATAAGCCTATTATAGCATCAGAGTTGGGCAAGTTACTTCCAAAATGTAATACATTATATATTACTAGTTACTGTCTTTTGAAAGTAATTAGTTACAGTACAATATTACTGTCTATGAATTGTAATGCGTTACACTACTTTTGAGTTACTTTTGAGTTACTTTTACCAAAATATCCACAGAAGCATTATAAAATGCCCAAATGTAGTTTATTGCTGCTCATTCTACACCCAGTGGAGGGTAATGTGGTAGGTCTATATAGCATAAAATTATAAAATCATATTTACTGTAGATGTCGGTATGTAGGTCTACATTAATGTTACGTTGTAGTTTAGGTTAGAAACAGATAAGCAGAAACCGCATTATTACATTCATAAATAACACCGGTAAATAAAGCGAAATGTTATAATGTACAAACAATAAACACAATAACTAGCCTATAGGCAATTTTGAACGGTTTCAGAAGAAAACCAGAATGAAAAATATAAGTTGTTAACCAAGCCAAAATGAATTAGGCTAATCAGTGGCGGTGCTAGGGCGGGGCTTGACGGGGCCCATCAGAAACTTGCTTAGACAGGGCACAGCCCCCCCAAGGATTTTCTAATGATGTTCCCTTATTTTTGGTGTCAATTTCATTAACATTGAAAAATAAACATAAAAAGTGCCTAATATGTGGCCTATAAACGATTGATATTATGGGGGAGGGGTCAAGCAACACAAGCAAGCAACGCGTAAACTGTGTGCAAGAGTTAAGCCGGTGAACGTCAGACAAATCACTATAGAGAAAGCGAAAGTAAAAAAACTGACGGAGCTTTCTAACGCTGCATTAACGCCGCATATACTCTGACAACAAGAGACAAAATTACTTCAATATAGGCTGATGATGGTATATATCTGTCTTAAATTATTCCCTTAATATTTCTCTTGTGGCCCATATCCTATAGTGAAAAACATGAGAAGAAACGTATTTCGCGTTAAACAGGTTGTTTTTGAAAATCTGTGCACGAAATAAAGCTGCTCTTAATTTTCATCGATGACTGCAGTGTTAATCATTTTAATTATAGGCCTATAATTCAATTGTATAAATTAATAGACCTGTTTAAAAAAATTATTGCAGCGCAATAATTTCATGTAATTTAATAATAAAAGTAACCTAATAATAATAATAGGCCTAATAATAAGAATAATGTAACAGGCCTACATTACATGGAAATGCTAAATCCTCGTAATATTGCCAATTTTTAATGCTTTGTTTTGACAATATCTCTGGCTATGATACGACGCATCTCAGCACGGGGAAGTTATCACATCATTTTACATATAGACTATGATTTAATAAAAACAGATTTTGTTATTTTTAGTTAAACTTAAATTGTCTGCGCTCGTCCGCCGCCTTTTTCTCTTCTCCGACGGCAAGTTTAGTTTTACTTTTCTTTTTGTTTTGTTTTCATTTTGAAAAGCTTATCTTTGCTGTTTACCTCCTGTTATGTTATGGAGGCTCTCTTTTTTTTTTATTCCTCAGTGTTTGCTAAATGTTCTGTAATTTATTAGTCATTGTATAGCCTAATACAGCATGTAGGCCTATGCCATGCCTCATGTTATTTGTTTTTGTTAATAAAGTTTTGTAAGCTAGTTTGTCATTGAATCTTACTGTTTTATTGTTGTTGTGTATTTTAATAAAAAATAATGAATCCATCTTTTTTTTTTGTCTTAAAAGGTGAAAGGTGTATAGATGTAAGCTAAACAGACAATTATATTTTATTGTAAAACCTGACAAGATCGTGAAATCAAAAGTGAAAGCATTGAAGCCCGGCTTATAACATAGCAAAAGAGGAACTCACGTTCACAAAATTCAAATCACAAATAATACCACTGATGAAAAAGAAGGGGTTGAATGTAACTACTTTCGTTTCCATATAATTATAAACTACAATAAAAGTTCATCAGCATGCATTGATTAATATCATGTTGTAGGCACACACAAAAAACCCAGTGCTCGTGCAACCAGCTGAGAAAGTTAATGGCAAAAGAGCGACCAGTGGGAAGAATGAGTCTGGAGCCCTGAATTGCCCAGCTCCCTCTGTCAATGATCTACCCCCTCAGCACCTGGCGCCACCCCTGGTACATCGATGTATTTTTGAAAAGCAAAGATTAAGTTTGTCCAACTCTAAACCCAGTCTCCAAGTAAATTAGGTTATTAAATAAAAAACTAGCAAAATGAGTTGCGCAGTGTCCCCACCACTTTTCAAAGCAAAGTTACGCCACTGGATGTTAGTAATATGTTGTTGTAACTTGCGTTACTGAGATTGTAACGAGTAATAATATTACCCAAATTTTATTAGTAATGCGTTATATTACTGCGTTACAGCAAAACGTAATATACTACTGTAATATTATTACTTTTGTAATGCGTTACTCCCAACACTGGTAATATGTTGTTGTAACTTTCGTTACTGAGATTGTAACGAGTAATAATATTACCCACATTTTATTAGTAATGCGTTATATTACTGCGTTACAGCAAAACGTAATATACTACTATAATATTATTACTTTTGTAATGCATTACTCCCAACACTGTATAGCATAGAGAAAATTGGTTCTCCCATCAAAAAGTTTCTATGAGTATTACAGCATTACTTGGAGTTGTACGAGTATTACAGAGAAAAAGCAAATAACACTAAAGATTAAAGTTTAAAGATTAAAACTAGCTCACCTTTACACCGTCTGGAATTTGTTGAGTTTCAGATTACTTATAGTAACTTGCTTATGATAGTCCATCATATCCAATGATGAAACTTTTATCTGTGTTCTTTCAAGGCTATAAAGTCTGATTTGAAATGCACATGATTTATTATGTTTTCTGCTTTTTCTGACCATCCACCAAGCACTAACCATCATATAATTGGCCATACAGTATATATTTTGGCAAATCCGGAGACTTTCTAACAATATGCCCAAAGCAGAGCAGCTCTCTCACCATGGTTTCTACACTAGCAAAGCAGGTCTCAGTATCAGAATTACAGCAGAAAGCATAATCAGACAACCTTCTGAAAGATAGTGAGTCGCTTTAATTGAGCCGCTCACAATTTTTGATAGAAAATGATTTTGTAAAGAAATGCCATTTTTATCTGAAGGTCAAGAATTTGAAAGTGGGTCCTGGTGCTGTGACCTCTAATCTCTCATTAAAGGTGGGCAATGTGAGAATGTGTGATAGGGCCATGTGCTTCCAGACAGAGCAAGTCTTGTAATGTCAGCGATAAGATACAGCATAAATCCTGCAGCATCTGTTTAGCTTTAAGGGCTGTTTCATTAGCATGACACATACATTATTTTTTATAATTCATGCAAATGGCAAATACCTGTTTTAACAAGGTTATAGTATTACTAATAACTAGTGTAATTAACTATATACTGTATATACAAATAATAAAAGTCTATGGAATGTCCCCATTTAGACGGTTATGTAAATGTGAGTGTGTGTTGTGTAAAAGTGGGATGTTGGGGGATTTTGAAGTCAAATTTAAGTGGAAATTTTAAGGAAGAACGTGTTTGCATGTGATGTTTGTAATTTAGAGCAAAACAAGTATTATGGAGTACAGTGCGGCATACAGATGAGAAACAAAACTGTCTGGTCTGTCAAAATTAATAGTTCGAACGCTAGTCTACCCCTGGCTGGCAGAGTGAAAAATATAAATAAAGAAGGAGAGACTGAGACGGAATGTTATTAGCCGCTGCCGCCCCGTGCTGCTGTGATAGCAGTGCAGGGACAGGCAGCTAATAAGAACACTTCCTCTCTGTTTGATGACAGGGATATTATATAAACAGTGACTGCTCAACAGGAGACAACCACCACAAACACAACAAGCTCCTTCTCCCAGATTCAAACCCAGAAGAATAATGAGATGCCTTAAGACTGCAGATCTTCAGAGGGCAGGATGTTCACAGGGCATTTGTTAATGCAAAATATATCTTTAAAAAAGTTTGGTTGATTCATTGTATGATTGGTCTTAGTATAAATGATCATCTTGGCTGTGAGGGTATATGACTGACCTTGTGAATCTTTCCATGCTCAGTGCCAACAAGAAAGCTGTAGTCCTTTTGTTTGTGGAAGTCCAAAGATGTTCCAACTAGACCGATAGAGAAAATGTATTCAGTGAGTCATTTGTATTCTTTATATGGTGAAACTGAATTATCATTGAATCTCCACAAGTGAAATATCACACTTGAATGAAACACTGTCATAGAAAGCTAAGGATGAATCTGCATGTCAAAAACATTTACTTCTATATTATGTGCATAAAGTATTGGAAAAGTTGTTTTATTATTGAACTATTGCAGATTTATATGTCCTTGATTACATTTTCTGTACTATATTATGAATATAATCACAACTGAAGGGCCCCTGTCCTTATACTGAAAGAAAACCCCACTCACATCATCATTGCATATTTTTATAAACATCATTTTCATATAATAGTGTAGAATTAATGTATTAAATCTTTAAAAGTTGTAAAATCTGACTAGTAAGGTGATACATACCTGTTGGAATGACATCCTTCAAGTCATCTGGAATTGTGTCAATGACTGGGAGCTTGATAATGTCCGTAAAGACTAGTTCATGCTAAAATCCAAATGATTGGCATAAATTTATCTTATACAATAATGACTTGCTTTAGAATCAACCTTTAGATATTTCCTTCTGTACCTTTACAAGAGTCCAAGACACCACTCGTCCATCAGCAGACACAGAGATGAAGTTGTGATTACTGTCCAAATCATCCTTCTGCCACTTCACCTGTAATGAAGACAATGAAACACAAAACACAGTACAGCCAAGACTTTATCAACCAACAGTCACAAAAAACTATATCCTACAAGCACTCTGTATTTAATTTTAAGGACACTACCATTCAAAAGTTTGGGGTTGGTAAGATATTTTAATGTTTTTGAAAGAAGTCTCTTATGCTTACCAAGGCTGCATTTATTTAATAAAGCAGTAATTTTGTGAAATATTATTATATTTAAATAGCCATTAATCATATTATGGAACTAGTAAGAGTAGTATGGTAGTATTCCATTCCGAACATTGTATTAAACGTACAACTCCATTGCTATATATTATTTTAGGTAATGAAAGTGTACAGTTACTGTTTTGATGGACTTTTTGGTCACTTCCTCCTCATTTATACCTGCATCACAGCACTTGTGTGTTTGCCGGAGCTGGCTCTGCTGTTATAAATAGGCTGATCAGTCTTTTTCTTCAGGTTGTACACTGCGACACAGCCGTCATACAATCCCACAGCCACCAGGTAGGACAAATGTTCATGGATGTCTAAACACATTACTCCTGAGGCCGTGTTAAAGATGAATTCAGGGTAACTTGGGTTTTTTAGGGTGTAGAAGAGAATCAGGCCACCCCCCTGCTGAGTAAATTCATCTGAAGGGAAAAGATGAAACACATTTCAGAGCCATTTAACTTACAAATGATTCCTTGTATAAGATAAATAGTAAACTTACGAGAACCAAGACCAACAGCAAACAAATCATTGTATTTGTGATTCCTAGAAATAAACAAAAACAAATGTCACTCAAATTAGTGATATTTCTTTTGACTGAAAAAAATGACTGCATTTGTTTTAATACAGTGTGAAACTCACCAGCAGAGGGCAGTCACAGACAGACTTTTGGCTTTATCATACTGAAACGTCCATAGTGGGAGAAGAGTGCCCTTCTCTCCTCTAAATTCATCGGATGCATCCTCAAAGTACATGAAATCTGAGGTTTGTATATAAAGGCGTTTACATCAGACAGTTGCATGCTATTTTTTGAACACTTTGTAATATCTGTCTAAAATAAAGGGTGTAGCATTGAAAATAAATTATTTTTCATAATTACCTTGTGCAACGTCATCAAATATATTTTGATTCACCATACGCTCAATGATCTTGACCACCATAGCTAGTTGGGATATGTCATCATTCTATAAAGCATAAAGTTATCAAGTTCCTTCAACTCACCTTTTTAAAACAAATCAAGCGCATTCTTGAACTAAATAAAATACAAGTCATTTTCTTGATTACACTGTTAAAATCTGTCAGATCATATTTCTTGTCTAGCCACCTGAGTCTCAGCTTGAATCATCTTCTTCTTGCTCCTGTCCTCCTCCTTATTAAGGAACTGGCCTTCGTGCTTCTCTTTACTTTTCTCCCGCCTTTGAAGTTCCTCTACGTAAAAGTCATAAATCTCCCACTGCAGAAAGAGCAGGGCATTCTAACATTGTACATGTCCATATTCACCATAGTACTGCTGTACCGCAAAAATGCTGCTAAAAATAATTTACAGGCAAAGATTTTCCCACCTGATTGGCTGTAGCTGAGAAGTTTGCACGAGGAGGAGGCTCAGTTTGACAACTTATGTCCTGCAAAATATTAAACATAAAAAAAAATACAGTGGGTTATGCATAAACTGAAAATACAGAAAATCTACAAATTCTGTCTATAGTTATACAAGCTATGAGCTATCACCATTGTGTCCTTGTAAAAGAAAATCTGCAAATCACATCTGTTAAATGACTACTTAGCAATAAACAAAAGGTAGATAAAACTTCAGAAATGTAACCCATAGGTCCTCTTACTCTTGGAGCATTGTTTATTGTCTGAGAGGCTCTCTCGTTGAAGTTGAATTGGTTGGTGAGTTTCTGCTCTCTCTTGCCAGCTTTGATGGCCACATTGTCTGGCCTCTCATCTCCTCCACCATCATCCACTTCAGCTTGTTCAGCCATCAATCTCCGACCTTCATCAGAGTCCTTGTGCACAAGATTCCCTTCTAGTTCAAAGTGAATAGCCATCTGATCCACAAAGACAATTGGTTTATAGCAGCCCTCCTGAAAAGACAACAGCTTTTAGTGATTTGTTAGGCTGATTTTAAATCATCAAGTTTAAGGACCATCATTTCAATAAGTTGTAGAGATGCAGCAGTTTTTTTTTTTTTTTTTTTTACTTTGAAACTGTATCTGACAACGTTTTGTGGAGCATTTGGATTGCTTGCTTTTAGGACTCTGGTAATCTCTTCATTCAGCTCCTTTTGAAGACAAAAAAATGGAAATGTGTAAATAATCATTCCAACATTACTATAATATGACATAATTTAGGCGGAGTCAGACCACAGGTTCTCTCCAGGTTTACGCACTGCCTCAGTTAAGTCCAGCTGGTCTGGAGGCTTCACGAGAGTCTTCCCCTGCATCCATTCCTCTCCTTCGGCTGTGTCTAGCCCTTCCTCTTCATCCTGCATGACAAAAGAGGCTTGAAATCCTGATATGTGACAAAGCATTCATTCATATCTCAATGAAAAGTGATTTGAAAGCTAACGTTACCTTCTTCTTTCCAATGGCTTTGACACCCTTTGCCACAGCTGCCTTTTGGTGGGTGTTAACATTAGGTGCCTGCATTTAAAGAGAGAAAATATAAACCGTTGGGTCTTCCCATCAATGCAATGCAACTCTTAAGTGAAATAGCAGTCATTAACTAGATGTTGACTTGAGAAAGCCTGGCCCGAAAGTTTAAAATGACATTTTGAAAGATTTATAGATGGATTCAGCTTGAAAGCTGTTGGAGAATGTAGAGTTAGATTTTTTTTTGTTTCAGAATAACAACATTAATATATTATCATTACAAATAGTAGTTTAGAAAACAATTATTTATTCATTTGCATTCGTGATAATATCGTTAACATACCTGTTTAGATTTCACTGACCCAACTTTGTGAGGAACGGACATTTTTTGCTTTCAAATAAGTAGTAAATAATTCCAATTTATCAGTATGCAAACGTAAAAATAATTTTGTATTCAAAAGGATAAAACAACTGCTCTCTTCTCTCACAGTAGTGCGAGTGTGTTTGTGTGTATAGACGTTGTCATGGTAGCGGTATGTGGCTGACGTAATGCGCATGTGCACAGTGAGATGTTGCTTACCTGTGACTTGCGAGTTGTTTGTGACAGCGCCACCTAGCCAACTCTACTGCAAAGACTAGACCCACCGAAATGAATTAAAATTATTATAATTTTTTATCTTTCCGCATTTATAACGCGTATTATGCATGTCTTCCAGTGTCAGGCGCTTGCAGTTATTTAAGCTGTGCAAGTACATTTTATTATGTTGGTTGCTATTGCAAAGTGGTATTTGATATCCAAGAAAATTGAATTTAAAACCCGAATATAGGGGGCTCATGGTTATAAAGTTCAAGAGGGTTACCAAAAAAATTTTAGGGTTGTGGGTAAGTGCTATAAAATAATGCAAACTGCACGTATATGCAAATAATAATAATAATAATGATGATGATAATAAAAATAATAATAATAGAGTCCTATCTGAAACTTCTACTCTGCACGAGAACTGAACAGCAACGCTTTTGTTCTGAACAGTAACTTTTATTCACACTGTTTTAATTTTGTTTACCTTAATAACAGAAGTGCTGTGATAACTAAACTCTAATCTGCAAGCGTATATAATATAAAATGAGAACGCCGATGTTTATTCATCACACCTAGATGTACGGAAGTAAAATAAGGCGGGGCTGTTATCTGTCTTTGTTAGGGTTTGTAAAGTCCGACTCGCTTTTCTGCGAATCGGTTCTTTTGAATAGTTCGTATCAATTGTCGGTAGTACACTTCAAATGAATTGTTCGGACCGACTTGAATCAGTTGAATCATTTAAGCTGGATCACTGAAGAGATTCAACTCAAAAGAACCATTCGTTCACGTTAGTTAGTTTACCAACGAGTCATTCTGTCATACAGTGCGTGCTGTAGCGGGTGAGAAATTAATTTGAAGCCGAAATGAAGGACCGTCTGGGCGATTTAACAACCGTGAGACTTCAGATTATTTCCTTAATTTATGTTATTTAGATGTAAAATACTATAACAATTCACGGTTTTTATAGGTATACATAGTTTCGCTATATGCAGCTTGATAACATGTATTGATCCCTTATGATTAGCCATTGTTGCCTTATATCATGTTTTCTGTTAAAACAAAGTTTGATACGCTGAAAATATTTAAAGCCAGTGGTTTATACGACAGAAAAGTTCCAGCTGTCTTCGTGACTTTTTTATTTGATTTGTTTCGACTGTAACCCTTCCCCGATCAGGTCTGCCATGACATCGTCATCGCTCCTGTGGAGTCCAATGCTTTCCTAGAGAAGTTCATCCCTAAGGTCTGTATATCCCTTACCAAAAAGTAGTATACTTCAGGTTTATTTTATTAAGTATACTTAAGTAAAGTTCAAGTATATTTTTAAGTATACTTTATGTAGCAAGTATACAAACATCAGTGTACTAGTAGTATACTTGTAAGTGTACTATTTCAATACTCCTTGGGACTAAATTGGCCCACTTTCTAGTATATAAAAGTATACTTGGTAAAAATTTAAGTACACAACTAGTTTACAACAATATTTTAGCTTGTACTGCAACTATACTAAAAGTGAACTTATATGAATACTGATAGTTTTCTAATTAAATACTTGTAGTAGCATTTTTAGTACACTTTGAAATATAGTCTTAGTAAACTACTAGTTTAGTAGTTTTATACTGCAAGTATACTCATAAGTTTTCTTTAAGTGAACTTTACATCATACTTTAAGTATACTACTATGTCCCTATTTAGGTATTATTTTGTATATATTTTATTATATAAATATCTGAACATACAAAACACCAAAAGGAAGAACAGGGTATCTGCTTGTAAACAAAAACATTTTATTCTGGCTTCATGCATTCTTTTTTTAAACGTTTGAATGTGGGTAAGTTTCATAAATAATAATAAAAAAAGAAATAAACAACATTTTGAACAAAAAGCTGAAAAAAAGACTATGAATTGGATTCAGAACGATAATCAAAACGTAGATAGAGTCGATCAACACCCCAAAGCTTGACAGTCATTATTACCTCTTCATTGGTCGACATTATATCAACTTTACACAGTTTTGATGCTGTTTTATGTCTGATGATCGTGTTAGATTACATGTGGAAGCATCTGTTGGTTTGGTTTCTTCTTCACTTGTGTTTTTTGGAAATTTTGTACAGAAAATGTGTACTAGTGTCCCCTACAGTATAACAATGAAAACACGGATTCTAGGAACACAAG